GTTTCAGTTTCTTTTATTTATTTTATTTACTTATTTATCTTTTCCAGTCTTCTCAGCTCAATTTTTATTTTTCAGAACACAAAAATTGCCTGAGAGGGAGATAGGATCAAACCTGCTCGTTACTGTTTTTTTAAAAATTTCTTTATTGATTACCGCATTACATATGTGTCCTTATCCCCAAATTACCTCCCCGACCCCCGTCTCATGCCCTCACCCCCCTGTTATCTGTGTCCATTGGTTAGGCCTATCTGCATGCATACAAGTCCTTTGGTTGATCTCTCCCCCTTACTCCCACCCTCCCCTACCTTCCCTCTGAGGTTTGACGGTCTGATCGATGCTTCTCTGTCTCTGGATCTGTTTTTGCTCATCAGTTTATGTTGTTCATCATATTCTCATTTGGCTTCCTCTGACACTGGTACTGCGGTTTAGGTGGAAGTCCTGGATTCCCGAGTAGCCTCCACTGAAACCATTCAGGGGAACTAGTACTTGGTCTTCTTCTATGATACTGCCCTAGCAGAGGGTGGAGGGTTTACAAGGGAAGAGATGCTTCCATGGATGGAACTGAGGTTATTTTCTGTGGTGTGTGGCTGGGATAGTGTAGCTGTTGTCTGAAAGTTTTCTGTCTTGCTAGGTTGTGTCTTTTCTCATACTTTGGCTAGAAAGAACAGACTTCCCTCCCCTCCCCTCCCCTCCCCTCTCCTCCTTTTTCCTCCAGTTTTTTTTTCCTTTTCTTTTGCCAGCTCCAATCGGCATTTTCTAGTTGCAAGCTTCTCCAGCAGTTAATAGGGGATATATGAAGTAGAAAGAAAACCTGGAGAGCTCACCACCAGATTGTTCCTTGGATCTCAAGGTCCCTAGACAGTCTGTCTTCTTCTCTCCACCTTTCCATCTTTGCATTCAACTTATATATAATGCAGTGCTTTTAGCTGTACTTAGTGGAAAGAATTGTTTGTCTTTTCTATTTGGTCCAGAACTGGATGGAAATCTTCTCATTGAATTTCCACAAATTTTAGTGTAGAGACTTTGGTTTGAGTGCTTATACTCCAGAGCCTCACTGTTTAGTATATCAATAAAAAGTCCACTTGTATTTAGGTTCTGAAAAATAAATCTGTGCAGTTTAATGTACAGACCATGGTCTTAGTGGATAACTAAGATTTTTTTTTAAACAGTCAGAATTTTTGATCTTTGGAAAGTTAACTCAAGTGCACTGAATTTATAATCTCCTCTTCTATAAAATGGGAATGGTAAGTTCTGCATCTAAAGATTGTAGTAAACATTAAATATACTCCATGTAAATATATAAGCATTCAACAGATCTAAAAACATAGTGGATTTGGGATAAGACTGAGTTACAGAAGTGTTCAGATTTAAAATTAGTTTTTTAAGGGCCTACGGCTGCATACCATGTTGGGTGGCAATGCTTAATGCATGTAACTGTGCTGACTTACAGTCTCTAAGAAGATACTGCATTAATTTGGAAAGAGAAGAATTGCATTGTAACAGAAGTTGGAAAAAATTTATACCTGTCAATTGAGTCCTGCCCTCTACCAAAGGCCAGGTTTTAATTAGCCAACTTTACTAGTTATTCATCAGGGACATGAATGAGGAGAAGATAGTAAAGACCTTCATTTTGTAATAAGAGATTATAAACTCAAGGTTTCTCTAAGGAGGAAATTCTAAAAAGCTCTACAAAAGAAGTCTCAGAAGCAGCCTGGAAATCTCAATTTTATAATATTTTTTTTTCTGGGGAAGCAATTGTTACTAAAGGAGAGCTTTGATTAGGTTAGAAGTCAAATGAGATTTATTCATCTCAGTGGTGTGAGGGAGTGGGCAAGAGGTCCTTAGAAATATGAAAACAGTGTATTTTGCCTTTATAAATGTAGACACACAACACTCCTCACTTTATCTCTTTCTTAGGTTCCTTTTAGTTGTCAAGGTCTATCAGTCACTCCCCAAAAAACACTTTAAAATACACTATTTGAATGGAATAGTAGATGATTACAACATAGTGTGAATTTAGTTGCATTTAAAAATGATTTCTCATGTTGGAAGAAAACTATTATTTTTCCTAATAGAAGAAATTCAGGTCCCATATTGAGATGTATAGGGGATAATTCATTCTCCAAATCTTTTTTTTATTGTCTTAAGTTTTACATATGTCTCCTTTTCCCCCAATTGACCCCCCTCCACCAGCCATTCCCACCCCAGGCAAGCCCCCACCGCCCCAGTGTCTGTGTCCATTGGTTATAATATGCATGCATACAAGTGCTTTGGTTGCTCTCTAATTGCCCCCGCCCCTCCGCCATTTGTCTCTGGATCTATTCTTTTTCATCAAATTATGTTGATCATTATATCGCACACATATAGGGGTGCATATATCCTTTCTGGTCGGTGTTTCTGGTTTCTTGGGATATAGTCCTAGAAGTGGGATCACTGGGTCAAATGGGAGTTCCATTTTTAACTTTTTGAGGAAACTCCATACTGTCTTCTATAGTGGCTGCACCAGTCTGCATTCCCACCAGCAGTGCACGAGTGTTCCTTTTTCTCCACCTCCTTGGCAGAACTAGTTGTTTAGTTCTCCAAATCTTAAAACCATCCTACAGAGCACTGATTTTGTACATATTTAATTACCTTGTTGACACATTGCTGATTATGATATAAAGTAACTGATTTATCTACTTCATCTAGGTGTACCACAGGTAGCCTTGCTGACTAAAGTGAAAAATTACCATGGTGTTCTTCAAGAAGACTTTTTAAACATGAATAATTCTATGACTTCTCAAAGCCAGGTAAAGAACACTGTTTGTAACCAGCTATTGTCATAATAATATTATACTCTGTGTGTGTATGTGTGTTGGAGTGTGCTCACACTACATATTCATAGGTAAATAAAGAAATGATCAATTGCCTGGTTAAATTTCATTTTAAAACTGTAATTATCTGGCCGAAACCGGTTTGGCTCAGTGGATAGAGCATCGGCCTGTGGACTGAAGGGTCCCAGGTTCGATTCCAGTCAAGGGCATGTATCTGGGTTGCGGGCACATCTCCAGTGGGAGATGTGCAGGAGGCAGCTGATCGATGTTTCTCTCTCATCGATGTTTCTAACTCTCTATCTCTCTCCCTTCCTCTCTGTAAAAAATCAATAAAATATATTTTAAAAAAACCCTGTAATTATCTGAATTATAATTAGATTCTGAAGATAATTTGTTAAGTCATTGTTTTTGTTTATTTTTTGAATTATATTTAAATTCAAATTTTAGATGTAAAACTGGTCCTTATTAAATAATTTCTCCACAGATAATGGAAATCCAAGCCATGCTAAAAATTCCTATTTCTAATATTCTGGTGGTTGAAAATTATGCTCCAGAGTGGGAGCAGGACCCTTTAAAGGATGTTCTGATCCTCTCTGCACTGAGGCAGATGTTACGAGCTGCAGATGACTACTTAGATGATTTGCCTCCTGGAATAACAGGTAATCTGGCCCCTTCATGCTCCTCTCATCAAACCCTGGTTCTTTTCGAAAAACCCTAATCTATACATCAGTTAGATGTCTGGTGTCCTTCTGCTTGCCCTAGTACTAACATGTATGCTTTGTTTGGACTCTTTTTTGTTTTGTTTTCAGATGAAGTTGCAGGAATGTCCCAGCTCAACATGTGCAATTAGTTGCCTTGTTTCTGACACTTGGCCCAGACCTGGATTGGCCTGCCTCACTTAGAGTCAATCTCTGCGGATAGCCTCCTTGGGACTTTGCCGCCATCATACTTTGCCTTCTGTCCCTGACAGCATCTAACTGATGGTTCATTCTAGGATCAGTCATCATACCTTAAGCTCTAAGGCCAACTCTGAGCAGTGGTGGATCACGATATCCCTACTGCAAACCACCCTTCATATTTCTGCACCACTTTCAATTTACTTTTTGTGACATCTTCCTAAACCTCCCCAGCAAAATTACCTATTCCCCTACCTCTTCATCTATAACACTTCATTTAAAACTTCATGTGCATGGTAATCAGATTGAATAATAATTATACAATGATTACATAGATATCTGCTTCCTTAAATAAACAGTGAATTCTTTAAAAAGTCAGGTTTGGATTTTATTTATCTTGTATTCACAGAGCTTAACACAGTGTCTGGCAGGAAGCAAGCATACCCATCATTATGCATCTCTTTCAACCCCCCCAGAGTGATAGCATATGCTTAAATTTTTCTCATTATAAAAGGGAAGACTATAAAAGAATGAAACCCCTGAGAGAAGAAATGGAAATAAAGGAGGGAGAATATTTCACTTACCTCTGAATGACAATATGAATTTAAATTAATTGAAAAGAGCAAATATTTTTTAAGGAGTTAGATTTTTATTTCTGTGAAAAAAATAAAATTTATTCTTCTAAAGTACCCATGCCTGATTTTCATTAATTGAATTGCAAACCACTCTAACCATGTCTCCAAAGCAGAGAATTAAAATAAGATTACTAGTGCAAGTCAATAAGGGGTTTATCTTATACAAGTGCTCCCAAATGATTCTGACATCCTTCAGGCAGCTGTAGAAGTTAGGACTATAAATAAATGAAATAATTTAAAAATATATGTTTAAATTTTTTACCCCTAAAGCCTTCTTCACTATTTCCTCCAAATTTCTTAGACTTTTCAACTGAATATGCTTTGCTTCAGTATTTATATTAAAGTAGTCAAATTTATGTGTGAATTATTTTCAGAATTATTTTCTTCTTTGAGAAGCCCTGGGTATTACAAAGGCAAGAATTCCTTAGAGATAGTTATGGAAAAATATTTTTTCCTAAAACAGCCGTAGGCAAACTGTGGCCCGCGCGCCGGATCCAGCCCGTTTGAAATGAATAAAACTAAAACAAAAAAAGACAGTACCCTTTTATGTAATGATGTTTACTTTGAATTTATATTAGTTCACACAAACACTCCATCCATGCTTTTGTTCCAGCCCTCCGGTCCAGTTTAAGAACCCATTGTGTCCCTCGAGTCAAAAAGTTTGCCCACCCCTGTCCTAAAACAAAACTTCAGGTGAAGCTGTGCTCAAATGAATGTCCAGGAGCCATGATTCAATGGAAAAGGTAATTGGAATAGAATCATCATAGATATTGAGGAGTAGAGCCAGAAGCACATACTAGGAACCAAAGTAACGTAACAGTTAGGATGGTTATAACATGGATCTAGGAAGCAACAGATCCAATAAAAAAGGTATGTTTGTCTCCATATAATCCAGGGGAAACAGCCATAACCATTGTTCTTTGGGAAATATTGAAGAACCACCATTCTGCTCACCAATTATGGGGTCATAACTAATCCATGTCAAGGGTAGATTCAGCAAAAATCTTGGCAGAGGAAGATTTTGCTAGATGCAAAATTTGATTCAAGGTGCAATTTCTTATTTGAAGGGGTAACGTACAGTAAGATTATGAAGGAGATGAAGATTCTGAAAGGAAGAGGAGTAATCGAAAGATCAAGAGATAAAGAATAAGGGACTGTCCAGGTGAACCAACATGGAGGCTACCAAAAGTTTCCTTTTTTGTACTAAAATGTACAGTGTTAGACAAATGATATCACAATTTCTAATCCCATGGCTGTGTACTACTTTGGGAACATTTAAAAATCCAGTGGAATTAAGTGTATATTTGGAATTTTGGTTGGAAAAGAAGGATGGAAGGTGGTCTCAAAAAGGGAGAAAATAAATAAGTGGGACTATATCATATTAAAAAGCTTCTGCACAGCAAAGGAAACCATCAACAAAATAAAAGGGAAACCTACTGAATGGAAGAAAATACTTGCAAATCATATCTACTCTAATAAAAGAGAAAAATGGTAATTGGCGTACGACACTACCCTTTTCATTGGCTAATCAGGGCTATATGCAAATTAACTGCCAACTCAGATGGCAATTAACTGACAACAAAGATGGCGGTTAATTTGCATATGTAGGCACAATGCAGGGAGGCGAAAGGGAAAGCAGGAAGAAGCCCCCTGCCACTGACAGTGATAGGAAACCCAGGGGGGCGCTAAGAGCTGGAGGGCAGGACAAAGGCGGCCCTGGGATGATCGGAGAATCAGGTGCCTTTGCCGCCCTGGCCAGTGACAGCAGGAAGTAGGGGTGGAGTAAGCGATGGGAGCTGGGCATGGTTGAAGCTAGCAGTCCCGGGAGCTAGGTGTCCCTTGGCCGGGTCTAAAGCGGAGCCCACAATCATGGGGCCACTGCAGCTGCAGGTCCCCGCTGCCCGGGCCGGACGCCTCAGCCAGAGGCGTCCTGCAGGGGCAGGAGCAGAGC